GTGGGGAAAACGAACTCTTGCCACTACCGATGGGAAGTACAATGTCCTATACTAGAGCCAGGCACAGTGGTGCACACCTATAATCCCAGTGGCTTGGGAGGCTGAGGCAGGAGGATCACAAATTCAAAGCCAGCCTCAAAAATTTAGCAAGATTCTAACAACTTAGTGAGACCCTGTCTCAAAATAAAAAAAATAATGAAAAAGGGCTGGAGATGTGGCTCAGTGGTTAAGCTCCTCTGGATTCAATACCTGTTACCAAAAAAAAAAAAAAAATGTCCTATACTTAAAATTTTTTGATGAGACATGGGAGTGGAAGCTCTGTTTGGCCATTCTCTGGATGGTCACCAACTCACTGAGACCTAGGCATTGCCTCTCAAGAGAATGCAGTAATGTCTGTCTAAGAAATGAAACATCTGGTACAGAATAGGAAATCAGAGGAAGAGAGATTGTCAGTATCAAAATACGACACATGATGATCGTGCCAGTGCAGCCAATGGGAACTACCCACCCCACCCCCAGAGAATTAAAAGCAGAGGAGTCAAGGGCATAGGCTTCTGTCAACCTAGAGAGAAAGCTCTTGGGCAAGGCTGATTGAAAAGCAGGTCCTGCTGGGCCAGGAGGGAGCACCTACAACTGTAATCACAGTGACTTGGGAGGCTGAGGCAGAAGGATAGCAAGTTCAAGGCCAGCCTAGCAATTTAGGGAGACCCTCAGCAATTTAGTGAGAGAGACCCTGTTTCTAAAGAGGGACCAGGGATGTAGCTCAGTGGTAAAATGCCCCTGGGTTCAATCCCACCCCCCCAACACACACACACCCCCACCAAAAACAGATTCCTTCTGGGCTCAGACACACAGAACACGTTTTAAGAAACTCACGGCGGTGTGTGTGCCGGACAAGTGCAAGAGAAGAGAGCATTCAGTCTGGGAGAATAGAAGGAACTGAGATTCTGGCAGCAAAGAGCCACATGCCCAAGAGAGAATAAGGGGGCACCCAGAACACACTTCTGGGGCCAGCCACCCTCTCTGGGTATTGAATGCAGCAGCCCCCACCCCACCCAGATGGAATGTGTCCATAAACACACTTCAACCCTTGAACTGCCCCCCCAAGTCCAGGGTGAGCACAAGCCCTCTTTATGTCCATGACCGTCCCAGCTTACTCCCCTTGTTCCCACATCCCTCTGGCTAGTGTCCCCTTTCACTCCCAAAGCATCTCGGTTGGGACGATAAATCACATGACCACCTTACTCCAGCCCCTCATGCCAGATGCTGGCGCAGGTTTTCCTGCCTCCCTACCAACTCCAAATCCCACGATTCTATCTTTGATAGAAGATGACTTAGAGCCCGAGTTGCACACGTTGACTAAGTGCCCACTGCATCACTGGAAAGAAAAGCTGTGTCCTGTGTCTTTCTGATTAAAAAAAAAAAAAAAAAAAAAAAAAACAATTTAAAAGAACAAAAATTCACCAGGTTCCCCCTGACCCCCTGCCCTTTGGTACTGTGATTGAACCCAGGGGTACATAACCACTGAGCACATCCCCAGCCCTTTTGTATATTTTATTTAGAGACGGGTCTCTCTGAGTTGCTTAGGGCCTTGCCAAGTGGCTGAGGCTGACTTTGAGCTCACAATCCTCCTTCCTCGGTCGGTTTCCAGAGCCTCTGGGATCAGGCGTGCGCCACCCTCATCTGGTTTTCTGATTGGTTTTAATGACCAGATCAAGAGGCTGCATATGTGATTTGATAAGGCACACACAGAGTTGTAAACAGGGTCCAAATATAGACATACTTCAATTCTCAAAGTGGCCTGTATTCTACTAGAAACCTAAAATAAGAGAACAGTGTTTTGGTTTTTTTTTTTTTTCTTGGTACTGGAGATTGAACCCAGGGGTCCTTTACCACTGAAATACAGCTCCAGCCCTTTTTATTTTATTTTGAGACAGGGTCTTGATAAATTGCTGAGGCCAGACTCCGACTTGTGCTCCTCCTGCCTCAGCCTCCCAAATAGCTGGAATTCCAGGAATGGTCCATCACACCTAGCAAACAGGGTGTTTTGAAAAAAATGCAAATACTACTTTTTTCCAGGCACTAAGAAGACTGTTAGGTACAGACCACTGCTCTCAAGTAATTAAAGTCTATAGTGTAAGACAAGTGCCTCAATAAACACACTTTCTATCACCTTTTACATGGAAATTTAAATGCTTATTTACATTTACTTTTAGATTTAAAGTCTAACAGATGTCTTGGGGCCCTTCTGAGAATCAAAATGGCTTACATAAATCCTTCAGATCAAAAGATTTTATGCCATCACAAACTTTCTATTTAATTCTATTGCCAATTCAAAATATTGATGTGGTTTTATTTCAGGTTTACGTAAAGCAATGATTGAAGGACGGCGGGTCCCACTTGATGCATTTTAAACATGCAGGTTGCTTTTTTCCTACTATAAACGCCTTTGAAGGAACGAGACAAAAGGGTTTTTGTGGAACTGAGATTTACTGAATGGAAAGGGTTCCTTTTAATGAGCCATTTGGAAGATTTTTAAAAATCCTTTTAGAAAAATGTGAACTGCTATCAGAATTACTTCATCATGTTTGAATTACGTTTAAATGGGGAGCTAATGTCACAGCAGATTGCAGCAATGTTTACCTGGGGTTTCTTGTCATTTGCTTAAACTCTACACATAGCTTAAATACTAGAAGACACTTGCAAAGGAACCATTTTGTTGCTGGAGCTCTTTGGTAGATTTGGTGAGATAAGCTTTGAGGTCCTATCATGTGCAAGACCCTGTTGTCAACTAAGGAGTAGAGGAAAATACTATTTTAAAGAATTCTCTGAAGTGGCCTTTGGAGATGTTCTTAAAAGACCATAGGATTTTAACAGAAAAAAAAAAAAACAACAGTGTGGGACGTGGGAAGAGTGGAAAGGTTTCCAGGTTGCAAAGGCTGCAAAGGCCCATGGGAAAGAAGGGCACCAGGCAATGTGAGGTGTGGTGGGAGATAAGGTTACAGCAAATGCAGGTCTTCCTGGTTTAGAGAAAGTTTGCATCCTGTTTTGGGCAAATGAGTGACCCTAAATCTCTTCTTGCAGATCTGACCTAGAATTAGAAAAAGTTGGAGGCAGAAACCACTTAGGAGGATTTTGCAATTCTTCAAATAAATATCATAGTGCAAACTGGTTTAGCAGCAGTGGTAAGAGCAAAGGGGTGGCAGTGCTGGGGACGGAGCCCAGGGCCTTGCACATGGCTAAGTGTGAGCTCTACCACTGAGCTACATGTACCCCACCCCTGGGACTGGTTTTTAAAAATTCGAATTCAAATCCCTAGGAAGAGGTAGGAAGTGGGCTTTCTCTGAGGATTTCTCTGAGGCTTTGATTTGGACAGTGGGGAGAGGAAGAAGCCATCATGATCCACAGAGGCCATAAATGCAGGTTCTGGTGAGATGTGCTTAGTCTTGGATATTATACTCTGAGTCCAAGGTATCAGGGGAATGACCAGAGGGCAGATTATAAATGCATCCATGTAACCTACAAAATGTTCATAATTATAAGTAAACACTTGTTCAAAGGATGCAGGAAGGAGCGGGGGGATAGTTAGAAAGTGAGGAGGAAAAGGCAGGAGCTTTCGAGAAAGCAGGTGGACACTCAGACCTCTTTCTCAGGAGAGGTCCTGGGGAGGTCATGGCACAGAGAAGGTGAGTAAAGAAGGCACCAGGAGAAGAGGGCTGAATCCAGGGGTCTTGGCATAGGGATATTTAGGAGCCAAGAGAAAGACAGAAGTCAAGAAAGGAAACCATGGCTGGGGCAGAGCTAAAAGCCCGAGAATTCAGAGCTCTCCAGACCCAAGGAGGCAGGTGTCTCCAGACAACCAGGGACATCTGGGCAAGGTGGCACACACCTGTAATCCCAGTGATTCAGGAGGCAGAGGCGGGAGGATCTCAAGTATGTGGTCAGTCTCAACAATTCAACAAGGCCCCAAGCAATTTAGCAGGACCCTGTCTTGAAATTAAAAAAAAAAAAAAAAAAATTAAAAAGGGCTGAGGGATGTGGCTCACTGGTTAAATGCCCCTGGGGGGTTCAATCCTTGGTTAAAAAAACAAAAAAAAAACCCCAGACAACATCAAAAAAACCAACCACAAGGGACAAAGGAAAGAAAAGTCACAAGCACTGACACAGGAGAGCTCCTTACCGAGCCCTAATTCTGGGCTGTGCCCCACGCTGAGAACATAGCCTGTCATCCAACCTGGGACATAGGTACCACTGGGGAGCTGCACCAGTAGCTTTAGATCTGTGAACTGACTTCTCCAAAACTTTCACTGCTGTAGGGCAGGGCCAGGACACTAATCCAGCAGGGCCTCACCCAAAGCATGTTCCCCTCACACAGTTGGCCTCCTCCTTCAACATGGTGGTGGGGTGGAACTCAGATCCCAATGTCTGGAAAAGAGCAGGGGATGGAAACTCACCCTGATGCTATATTTGCAGAGGCCTAGAATCAAGCTCAGTGCTAGATGAGAAGGTCAACTATCAGCAGTGCAAGGAGGGGCTGGTGGAGCTGGGGAAAGCAGGGCTGCACCTCTTCCGGGAAGGGGCAAGAGGGATGGGCACTCTAGATCCTCAGTGAGAACAGGAAAATCATTTCACAAAACAGAAACCTGCATTCAAGCTGGGCACCATGGCACAGGCCTGTGATCCCAGTAACTTGGGAGGCTGAGTCAGGAGGATCACAAGAGTTCAAGGCCAGCCTCAGCCATCTAGCAAGACTGTCTCAAAATAAAAAATGAAACGGGCCAGGGATAGAGCTCAATAGTAGAGTGCCCCTGTGTTCAATCCCCAGAATTGATTTTTAAAAAAGGAGAGAAAGAAAGACATGACCTTCTTTCAAGTAAGAATTGAACACCTTTATGGAATGCAGTAGTAGCTTGCTATTTTCCTTTCTTAATATATATGAAAATGCTATTTCCTATTTTAACATATGTGTACAAGTATTCATGCATTAGAATTGTACATACTTTTTTGAGTTCCTTGCATTTTTCTGTTGAGAGTTTGAGTTTTTCTTTCAAAAGGACATTAAACGCTGGATCATGGGGAAACAAACAAAAGGAAAACAGGCCATGAGAACTCATGAGCCTTGGATGGAGATTAACACCAAGCATTTGCGTGGATTCTGTCAATCACAGGGCGTTTTTGGAAGGGGAAGGAGATTCATGTTGCCCTTTGAGGGAAAAGAGCCTTTCTCCCGAGCTGCTGCAGCATTTGTGAGACACGCTTAGGCTTTCCCCCATGGACATAGCCACACTGTCACGTATGGATGTCACCGAGAGAAATACACAAGCTGACTGCTCATCTGGTGGCTGTTCTCAATCTGGTCATTGTCCCTGTGAACCCTGGGCATCCTTGAATGTTTCAATAGGGCAGAAGGATTTTTCTCCCTCTGTATCCAAAAAAGCACTCTGGGAAGGGAAGGCTAGGCCTGTGCCCAAAGGCTTTACAGTCAGGAGGACCAGCAGTGACAGGAATCAGCCTGGGGAGGAGCATTTTGATCAACTTGGAGGATTCATGTGCCGTTCATTCAGTGAAGTTTCTTGTTTGTTTCTTTTGCACCTGGGATTGAACCCAGGGGTGCTTAACCACTGAGCCACATCCCCAGCCCTTTTTCTTTTTTGAGACAGAGTCTCCCTAAGTTGCTGAGGCTGGCTTTGAACTCAGAGTCCTCTTGTCTCAGCCTCCCAAGCTGCTGGGATTACAGGTGTGCGCCACACTACACGGGGCTCAGTGCAGATTTTAATGGAGGGATTTTAAACAAGCTCTCCAAATCAAAAGCATTTGGGAAGTTTGAAAAGAAGTCATATAATTAATGTTAGGTCTGTGCACTGTCCAATGAGTGAAAGTGAGAAAAATCCAACACACTGGTTATTTGAATGAACTAATGCTCAGGCACAGATCTAGAGCTCCCTGTGCCCCCCTCCCCATCACAGTTCCATCCCAACACTGTGTCTGTGCAGCAACCAAGACTGAACTTCCACCAGACCTGTTCCCCTTCCACAGCCCCTTCAACCCCTCCATTCAAATGGCACCAGGGCTAGGAGACTTTTCCTATGAGCAAGTTCAAATGCATGGTCAGACCTCACCTGGAGAACCAGGTCTTCTCCTTGAGCATACACTGGCCACTGATAACACAGGACGGTCTTACAGGGTGAGGCTGATTCAGAGCCTCTACCTCTGACCTGGTGGCCCAGAGCTGGCTGGCCTCAGGTGGACTCAGTCCAAAGCAGAGTCAAAGTTCATGGACTGAAAGACCAATTACGTCCCTGCCCCAGCATTGGAGCCCGTCGGTGGAGCCTGGGTGCTGGGAACCCAAGAGCATGGCTCTGTGTCTTTGACCTGCAGTTCTGGGATCTGTGGACAGTTCCCTTGAGCTCCTTTCCAGGGCAGGAACAGGCAGGCCCAGGTCGGGGACAGAACTTGGAACACACATACATCCGGGAAGGGTCTGGGGTAGCCACTTGCCCTGAGGCACCTTGTACAACTGTCCTCATGGGGGTCAGTCCTTTTCAAATGAGGCTAGTTGTGCCAAACCCCTGGGGAAAGCCCTGTGCCCCTCCTGGCCCAGGGTTAGAGGGGATATTTTTAGAGGGTTCTAGTGATCTTAATTTGAACTATATGAAATTGTCCTTTTTTTTTTTGTATATCAAACATGATGCAGAATGTAACATGCTCATCCTCACAACAGAAATTATGAGAAGCTGGGTACGCCTGTAATCCCAGCAGCTGAGGAGGCTGAGGCAGGAGCATCGTGAATTCAAAGCCAGCCTCAGCAACTTGGGGAGGCTATATGCTATTTAGCAAGACTCTGTGTCTCAAAATAAAAAATAAAAAGGTCTGAGGATGTGGCTCAATGGTTAAGTTGACCTGGATTCAATCCCTGGTACCAAATATAAATAAATAAATAAATAAACAAACAAAAAACAAATAAAGAAATGGATAAATAAATAAATTAAATTAATTAATAAATAAAAGAAATGATGAGACAAGAGTAGAGTACATGTGGAAAAATAACAATTTTGAGAGCCAGACCTAGGTTCAAATCTCAGTTCTGTTACTTTCACTCCACAAACACATACTGAATTCCTTCTATATTGCTGGATACTATTCTTGGAGCTTTACGGAGAGGGGTGGTCCAGACAGGTAGGCAGCCCTGCTCCTTAGCTTCTGGGGCCACTTCCTGGTTGGACCAGTTGCTCCGCCTCTCTGAGCTTCAGTTAAGTATTGTAAAGGCTAAAAGGGATGATGCACATCAGGCACAGAGCGCATGGGCATGTTATCATTCCGTGGCTCACAGGAGCTCTAACCTATGGACCAAGAAAGCCTTGCAAGGCATTGTGGGAATCTCCAAGGCTATCCTCTAAGAACCCTGAAGCAAGAAATGACTGTAGGAAAATGGGACAACCAGGGAGAGGGCTAGAGGGACTCCCAAGATCACTCATCCCAGCCCATCCACTCTTCCACTCAGGGAGGCCAGTTGCTGTCAGTTCTCAAATAAACCAGGAGGGCAATAAGCAGAGGAGGATGTGAACTGCTTCATCTTTTTTTTTTTCTCTCTTTTTTCTCTTTCTCTTTCTAGTACCAGAGATTGAACTCAGGGGTACTTAACCACTGAGCCACATCTCCAGCCCTTTATTAATTTTTTATTTTGAGACAGAGTCTCATTCTAGTTGCTGAGGTTGGTTTTCAATTTGCCATCCTCCTGCCCCCTGAGCTGCTGGGATTATAGATGTGTGCCACCACACATGCCTTATATAATTGGTTAATAACGGCTTTCCCCCTCCTCCAGTACCAGGGATGGAACCCAAGCCTCATATTTTTTTAAATATTTTTTAAATTGTTGATGGATCTTTATGTATATGTAGTGCTGAGAATAGAACCCACACCTGGTTCATCTTTCTTAATAGACATGAAATCATTTATTTAATACAAATAAAATAATGTCAAATTTATTGATTACGACAGAGATTGAGGAGGCCTCAAATTACCTATAGAGTTTTCTAGTTTTTTGTTTTTTTCATTTTGCTATACTAGGGGCTGAACCCAGAGGTGTTCTACCACTGATGTAGATGTTCTACATCTCCAGCCCTTTTAAATTTTATTTTGAGACAGGGTCTTGTTAAGTTGTTCAGGCTGACCTTGAACTTGTGACCCTCCTGCCTCAGCCTCCAGAGTAGTGGGGAGCAGCTGGGATTATAGGCACCAGGCTGGAACTTCTGGTTTTAAGCCATCAACACTTATCTGGCTCTAGTTAAATAAAGGATATGCAAGTTAGCTGATCTTTCCCCTAATTTCCCACCTAAACAAGTCTCTGATGTGAACAGAAACAAAGGATTATAGATTCCTTTTGTAGCCCAGGGCCTATTTTCTGGGCTCTGTGTGCAAACACGCCACAGGGCTATTTCGCAGGTCAGCATGCACACCGTTTAAAGCTGCATAAATCGTGCTGGACAGAGTATTAATCAGTGTGAAGTTACTCTCTAGCAGTTCAGCTCATGACGGTACCTTCACTCTTGTCCTGAGGTCCATTTGACTTTCTGGGTCCATTCGGCACAGGTGGGGTACAGGGAGGCGAGACCAACAATTGCACTAACTTTTTTTCATACACTTTTCTGGTGGAAGCTGAGGAAGAATGTGAAGAACAAATTACATTGTCCTGTTTTTGTATGTGAGCTTACTGGGTTCAAAGTATTTCATAATTCCGACCTTTATTCTAGGCTCTTATGTAATTGGTTAATAATGGCTTTTTGTTTTTTTCTTCAGCACAAGGGAAGGAACCCAGGCCTCATAAGTACTAGGCAAGTGCTCTACCATTGAGCGACATCCTTAGCCATGTGGTTTTTTTTTTTGTTTGTTTGTTTTTAATATTTTTTTAGCTATTGATGAATCTTTAATTTATTTATATGTGATGCTGAGAATTGAACCCAGTGCCTCACACATACTAGGCAAGCACTCTACCACTGAGCCATAACCCCAGCCCCAGACATTTATATGGTTTTTAAAAATGGACCCCACAGCTGCTCAACTCACTCTTTCCCTTTCATAAATACTTAGGCGATACCTCCAGAATAGCCACAGAATCAGGCATTGGATACATCTGAGAACAAGACAGCCGTGGCTGTGCATCCTATCAATGGCGAATATAAACAGTGAATACATAAGTCAATAGTTCATACAGAGCATATAGCAAAAACGAAACAGGAGCTGGGCCTGGTGGCACATGCTTGTAATCACAGAGGCTCAGGAGGATGAAGCAGGAGGATGGTGAGTTCAAAGCCAGCCTCAGCAACTTAGCAAGTCCCCAAGCAACTTGGTGAGAGCCTCACACTAAATTTAAAATAAGGGGCTGGGGCTGGGGCTCAGTGGCAGAGCACCTGCCTTGCACATGTGGGGCACTGGGTTCAAGCCTCAGCACCACATAAAAATAAATAAACAAAATAAAGATATTTAAAAATAAAAATAAAAAGGGCTGGGATTGTGGCTCAGTGGAAAGCACCTCTGGGTTCAATCCCTAGTACCAAAAAAGGAAAAAACAAACAAACAACAACAACAACAACAAAAAAGGGTAATATAATAAAGAGTGACGGGTTTTTCATTGTTGAAAAAAACTAACCCCTTCTCTTTGGCACCATATTGATATGTAAGGATCCTCTCTCTGTGTGGTTTCCTGTTTTCCTATGTGTATTTGTGAAGGCAGGACCTCACACATGCTAAGCTGCTGAGCTATAGCCCCAGCCTCCTTATTTCTTTCATTTATTCATTCATTTATTTATTAGTTGTAGTTGGACACAGTACCTTTATTTCACTTATTTATTTTTATGTGGTGCTGAGGATTGAACCTAGGGCCTCGTGTATGGGAGGCAGGCGCTCTACCACTGAGCCACAACCCCAGTTCCAGCCTCCTTATTTCTAATGGGAAACCATTTTCAATGATTTTTATTGTACCCGTTCCTTTTACTCTAAGTTGTTTTTAAATCTTTGGAGGTAGTTTGTAAACAGTCAAGGACTACACCTCCCAATATTCACTGTGTACATACGTACGTAGTATTGGGCCCGGTAAAAATCCAAGCTTTTCCAGTTGATTCTGCAGTTCACAATCACTCAGGCATTTCACATCCACCATGGTGATAGAAGTTTGGCCTCTTTTCTGACAGTGGAATCTTTGAAATAGTAAAACAGTACATTCATTAAAACAGCCTTTATGAATAAGTACTAAAACTTTTCTTATCCACATAAAGCTTTACAACTCATAAAGCCTACATCTTTACCTCCTGCTGTTTTCTTCCACAAAGCCCTACTGGGAATCAGTGACCTCCATGCAAAACCATGGGTGGGTGTCACTTTACCCACTGTTCTTGGGGTTCAATTCTTTCTCACTTTTCTACTTGACTAATGTGAGAAAAATCTTTGGGACAAATTTTTCCTTTACTGCTCAGGATCTCTGAGTAAGACACAAGCTCTGAGAAGATAAGAATTTAATTAAACAGGAAAGAGCTGAGAGAGATTTTTTTGTGTGTGAGTTAAATAAAAAGTTATTTATCCCTGCCCTCCTTTTGATGAGAGTACAGAGAGTACAGAGCGGTCGGTTATTGCAAACAGTAGTAGTTTTCACACTTGTAATTTAACTCTGAGCATAACGAGATGGTAGTTTTTAATTAACCGCCAGCAGACTTGGTAATTGCTGAATTGGCATTTGAAAAGAGTCAACTATTCATTCTCTGGCACTCAAATTGATTTATATAGATTTATAAAAGCCATGATATGGCTTTCCCAAACTGCACAGCCCCACATTCGATCAGTTTTATTCCAGTGATCTCTTGATTCCCCCCCAAAAAAACCCTGACCTTTCCACCTACTTAACAAAATCCGGAAAACGACAGGCCCATTAGTCAAGTCTTTTAACAGAGATGTTTTCATTCGGGAGTTTATTGGTTGTACCTCATTTCTATCATGTTTCAAGACTTTTTAATATTGCAGTGAAAACGACCGAAAGATAATTACTCAGCATAGAGGATCTAGACCCATTTTAAGTAATGACTTTGCTTTTATTGGTGATCAATCATTGTCCAATTAGGAAGAACATCATATACAAGCTAGAAAAAGGGGTGAATTGTTACGTGCATAGGAACACCTAGTGGGACAGTTCTCCACTTTAAAGCCATGTTTCTTTTTCTCATGCATAGTAGGTTCTTGGTACAGGTTAAGTTTCTTCCTTTTCTATGTGTTGGGGAAACTGAGTTAGCACTTCTGAACCCGTAAAAAACAACCTAACACTAGGAAGTAAAAGGGCACCGCACTTCAGCATCTTAGATTCTTTTTTTTTTTTTTTTTAATACTGGAGGCTAGCTGAGGCAGATCCTGTGACATTTGTTCCCAAGAACAGCTGTCTGTTGTTTCCCCCAGCTTCCCAAAAATAACCTCCAAAAGAGACCTCATCAATTTCAAGTGACACTAGACAATTGCCTAGAGGGAATGCACATATGGAAGAAAAATATTCAAATGAAATCCGAGCAGACGATTAATCCACTTACCCCTTCACATGGTTATCTAAAGCCTAGGCAGTTGGGCTGGTGACTGAAGCTGGGTGAGTTTCTCCCTAGAGTTTCTACTGGAAACCCCTCCCTCTTTGCCTATTAGATATTATGGTAATCATAATACTGACAGTGTGACATCAGTAACCCCCATAGCAACAGATTAATGTGTAAATCAGATGATTAATTGAACCCAAGTTCAAACAGAAGGAGGCACTGGTCGACTTCATAGGCAGGCTGCCATGATAAAATGTCAAGAGATGCAGAGTAGTTATCATTATGCACAGGAAGTAAGGAGCTGTTACCAAGCCAAATGGTGCCAAGAGAACTGGGAAGAAAGAAGAGAAATCAAATAAATTCCTGTGTGGGCCACGATCAAAAGACCCACAGTGGTAGATGGTAATATGGCCATATACTCTAGATAAAATAGAGAAGTGAGAGAAAGCTATACTAGATTGTTAAGAATTGTTCAGTAAAGGAAATGAGAGGGCTGGGGGCATGGTTCCTGGGTAGAGTGCTTATCTAGCATGTATGTGCCAGGTCCTGGGTTTCATCCCCAGCATGGGAAAGCAGAGTGAGAGCAGGGTACAGGGGCTCTTGCCTGTAATCTCAGCTATTCTGGAAGCTGAGGCAAGAGGATCTCAAATTCCAGATCAGACTAGGCAATTTACTGAGACCTTGTTGCAAAATAAAAGCATTGGGGAGATAGCTCACTGATGCAGCGCTTGCCTAACATGGGTGAAGCCTTGGGTTCAGTCCTAAAAACCGTTAATAGTAATAATAATAAGAAGAAGGAGGAGGAGGAGGAGGAGGAGGATGGAGTATAGACAAATAATTCATACACTGCAGAAGTCTAATGATTTGGGTCTTTTCCAAAGCATTTTACAGGGCTGTAGCTGTAGCTCAGTGATACAGCGTTTGCCTGGCATGCCCAAGCTCCTGGGTTCAACTCAAGCAAATAAATAAAAATAAAATTTAAAAAGAACTTTCAAATCCATTTCATCTACCAGCTACTCCCATAAGTCAGCTGAATTGAGCACAGTGGTGCACAGCTGTAACCCCAGGAACCAGGGAGGCTGAGGCAGGAGGATTGCAAGTTCAAGGCCAGCCTTAGTGAGCAATTTAGGGAATCCCTGTCTCAAAAGAAAACTTTAAAATACAAAAAAGCTGGGGGTTGGGCTGGGGTTGTGGCTCAGTGGTAGAGCGCTCACCTAGCATGTGCGAAGCCCTGGGCTTGATCCTCAGCACCACATAAAAATAAATAAAATAAAGGTATTGTGTCTAACTACAACTAAAAAAAAAAAAAAGGCTGGGGGTGTGGCTCAGCGGTATTGAGTCCCTGGGTTCAATCCCCAGTATAGGATGGGAAGGGGAAAGTGGGGGTAGTCTGAGACAGATATTCTCAACCCGCATTACAAAAGCCTTTGAACCCAGGGCCTCAACCATGCTAGGCAATTGCTCCACCACTGAGCTACATCCCCAGCCCCAAAGGCTCTTGTTGTTGCTTTATTTAGCTCAAGGGAAGATCTGTTTAAGGAAAGATCTGTCAGACTCCTGGCTTGAGTCTTTCAGGAAAGACTGCTGCAATTTTAAAAACAATTATGGAAGACAAAATGTAACTGTGAGAAAACATGATGCGTTGATTAAATACCAGGAAAAGGAGGGAACTGTCTGCAAAGGTTGAAGGGAACAGTGGAGCCAGGCGGCCTAGAGTCAAATCCCAGCTCCATCCCCAGCAGGGTGGTACAGGATTAGGCAATCACTGAGCCTACTGTGTCTCTTCATCTGTAATGGGGTAACAATGGTACCTCCTCCCAGGGCTGTCCTGAGGATTCAGTGTGTTATATAATCATAGAAAGTGTGAGCACATGGCAAGCACTGTTTAAATATTTTCAATTATTTTAATTATTCATGAGCCCCAACCTCAGAAATTTTCTGCCTCTCATCTCTTCCCCAGGAGGCTCCATCCCATTTACACATGCTCATGGGTCTCTATAACTTCAGCCCTTCTCTAGCCCTGGGAAAGAGCTAAGCATCTTGGGATGCACTGAGTGCTCCCAGGCTGTGGCTCCAAACTTTCTGAATAGAGCATCAATTTCCCAACAAACACGCAATGCAAACATTTACCAACATCCAAACATGGCATTCACCAAACAAAGACTTGGAAAATTGACACATTTGTTTCAATCAAAGCAAATAAATGATAGGCTTGGGTTATTAGGATGCACAAGCATTTTGTTTACATTTCCCAGAATTGCTTTCAACAAAAGAACAGCCAGCAGGTGGAACCGCTTCCATTTTAGACAGTGAGACTGTTGGAAAGAAACAGACATTTCTACAATGTTTTCTTGGTCAAACCTCTGGGGTTAAAACAAGCCACCATGAGAAAGGATTAAGCCAGATGCTCTCAACCAGCATCTATGGGTTGAGCCCCCTATGATGTACAAACTATGCCACCTGAAATTGTTCTCCTGAAGATCCATCTCATGCATATCCACGATTCTTTTGTTAGCACTATGCCATTTAAGAATTCCCATATGCTGTGGAATCCTGAAATATTTGGCCTCAATGTTTGCAACATTTCCCTCAGTTTTCTCTCTGTTGTTCTGGGCATTAGCTTGTGGGTTTTTTTTTGTTTTGTTTTGTTTTTAATTCTCTTCATAGCTGCAAAGACATTGCCTTCCATTTCTGGAGGGAAGCAAGTTTTTAATTGCCAATTGACTAGGTATTCAACATGATAAGGTATCTAAATCCTGAGAGCTTCCTCCTTTCATTAAAATGTAGATCCAATTTCTCTTCCCTTAATGCCACATGCTGTTATTAAACCGAAATAGCAGAAATAGTAAAAGCCAGATGTCACTTCAGTCTCAGGTTTGATGTGGGGCACAATTTCCTCTCCTCAAGTTTAATCTGCCAGTTATTTACTAACCCCAGCCTTTGGAAGAATGCACAATTTAAATGTAAATGCAATTTACATAGGGGAGCAGATAGGAGATGTGCAGTTTCAATTGCCAATAACCCGCCTGCAAAGGGGGGAAATCAACTAGAGCAAAGATGAGCAGCTGTCAGTCTGAAGTTTGCATCCATCACCATCCTCAGATAACTTTCCTCCTGAAGCCACCTGCCTCTGAGCCTCAGCTGTGCAGGCAGGAGAGAACAGCCATTTCCCTATCTATTTCAAGCTGAATTTACTACTGGCTGGAGGAAGAGAAAGGTTTGGTTTTCAATGAGCTAAACTCATTGCCATTGTTGTTGTAAACATTAACTAACCAATCCCTTTTTTGGGGTGGGGGGTACTGGGGATTGAACTCAGGGGCACTCGACCACTGAGCCACATCCTCAGCCCTATTTATTTTATTTAGAGGCAGGGTCTCACTGAGTTGCTTAGCCCCTTGCTTTTGCTGAGGTTGGCACTGAACTTGCGATCCTCCTGCCTCAGCTTCCCAAGCCACCACCACACCCAGCTAGTTGACCAATTTCTTTCAAAAATATTCGTTGATCATCTCTTATGGGACAGACACTTTGCTTGGCCTAAATAGGGAAAGGAAGCAGAGAAAACAAAGGTGCAAAAGCTACGTTCCTTCATGGAACTCACTGTCTCCATTAAGAGAAAAGAAAGCAAATAATACAAAAAAATAAAGTAAGGTGACAACAGAGAAGTCCAGAATTGGGAGCTCCTAAGGGTCAAAAGCTGCACTTAGGCTAAGACTTCCTGGCCCAGCAGATTTCACCCTCTAACAAGGGGCTGGAGGAGGATCATCTAGGATCTGCTGAGCAGGATTGGTGGTTTGGGGCTAATTTGTGAAGGATCTTGTGGGTCATGCTAAAGAGCTTGGCCTTTGCTTCTGAGACTACTTGGAAGTTTCTAAGTGGAACATAACATCATTAAATTTAGTTTGATATTAAGAAGAGGATGGGTTGGTTAGGGCAGAATGGAGACTACAGGATTACTTGGGGCTTATTACAGCTAGAAAAAGAGATGATTCAATTTGGGGAGGACTAGAAAAGGAGATGCATGGTTCCTGAAAGATTTAGGAGGCAGGAAAGTCAGGACAGGACATCTAATTAGGTGTTTCCTCTCCACTTCACTTGCAAAGGCACCACCTCAGTACAAATCCTTTGTCTCCGCCACGAGCCTGCTTACATAAGGAACCATATGGAGTTTGGTCTACACAGCAGTGACACTTAAAAAATTAGTCTGCACTTGTCTAGTCAACCCTTGATTAGCTCCACTACTTGAAGACAGCGGCAATACAGATAATCCATAACTCTCTTCTATTTGGCGTTGGAATTAATTACACCTTTTAGAGAAAATTTGCCTTCCTAATTAATCTTTCTTAGGCTAATATTAAAATTAACTAATATTCTCTGAGCCCACACCAGCTGGGCAGGGGAAGTGGGGAGCCCGGGAGGGAGGGGAGGGAGGCAGCTCAGGGCAGGCTTAGCAGCAGGAAGAAGCCATCACCTTGTTGAATTTCACCTTGGATCAACTGCAGAGCAGGAGCTGGGTCTAGTTCATGGACAGGTGGCTCTATAATTAGAGACTCAAGCCCCTTGGGAGTTTAGTCACTGAGTGCCTACTATGTACCACTGGGCCCCCCGTTATGGCTGAAGATGAGATGAATAAAGTAGAAATCTCTGATCTCTGAGATCCTCCAGTTTATCGGGGAAGATGTAACAGTGAGCAGATGACTTCATCAGGTTCTGGCAGAAGCATCTTCCCTTCAAGAGAAGAGGCACAAACAAGGGCAATGAAGAAAAAAACAAATTTGTATGAAACACAGGGGAGGAAGTCTCTAATTGACATAAACACAACAAGAAATATACTTTTTTTGTTTGTTTGTTTGTTTGGTACTGGGGATTGAACTCAGGATCACTCAACCACTGAACCACATCCCCAGCCCTATTTTGTATTTTATTTAGATTAAGGGTCTCACTGAGTTGCTCAGAGCATCACCGTTGCTGAGGAGGGCTTTGAACTCGTGATCCTCCTGCCTCAGCCTCCTGAGCCACTGGGATTACAGGTGTGCACCACCACACCTGGCTAAGAAATATACTTTTAATAAAGTGAGTGAGTGAGTATCATTATTATTATTATTTCTCCTCCTCCTCCTC